ATATGTCCACACAAAAATTTGTATAGGAATGTTTATAGCAGTTAGAGATGGGAGAAAGGAATAAAGGAAGTGATTCATCTACTACTGAGGGTAGGAGTCAGGGAATGAAGTCAATGGAAAGATTCATAATATTTATTAGTAAAATGAAAAGTTCATCTTGAGGGAAAGGAGGAAACCAATTCTTTGTAATTTGCATGTGATCTAGGGCAAGCAGTGCAGAAAGCTGAAATCCCAGAACCTCTCTATGATGAGGAGAAGATAAATATAAAGGAAAAAGAGCCATTGTGTGGTCAACGTGATACATTCAGAACTGGAGACACAACAGTTGAACATGCTCAAGCATCTGAACAAGCAGGTAAAGCTGACTGACTGTCATAATCGTTAAAATATGCAAACAGTGCAAGTGTTCGTCAACAGGACAGTAGATAAACAAGCTGTGATATTCACACTGTGGAATGTAATTCAGCAATAAAAAAGGATTAAACTATTGGTATATGTAAAGCTAAACCAAATTCACTGCCATCAAGTCAATTCTGATTCATAGCGACCCTCATTGGGTTTCCAAGACAGTAAATCTTTATGGAAGTAGATCGCACCATCTTCCTTCCACAGAGGGGCTGGTGGGTTTGAACCACTAACCTTCCTGTTAACTGTCAAATGCCTTAGGCTCTGCGTCACCAGAGCTTCTTGGTATATGTAGTATCGTGGACGAATCTCAAAATATTATGTTAGGGAATTTACTCTGTAAATCTTCACCCAAATCCTAATAAAAAAAAATATATATATATATTATGTTAGGGCAAACAATCCTGTCATATGTGTACATACTGCGTGATCCTATTTATATGAGTATCAGTATAGACAAATACTACCAGAAAGGAAGGACTTATTGGTGGTGGTTACCTTAATGGGTACCCTTGTGCTGGGAGCTCTGGTGGCATAGTGGCTAAGGCATTTGACTGCTAACCAGAAGGCTGGTGGTTCAAACCCACCAGCCACTCCTCAGAAAGAAGGTTGGGCAATCTACTTCCATAGTGACACTGCCTCGGAAACCCAAGGAGGGGTCGCTATGAGTCGGGTCCGACTCGATGACACATAACAACAACAACAACAAACCTTAATGGGTGGATGCAATGCAAACGCAACGCACTGCCATCAAGTCGATTCTGACTCATAGCACAAGGGTACTTTCTAGGAAGGTTCCCAAGCTTGACTGAATGTACGTTACACAGATGTTTTACACTTAAAGTGTGTGCATCTCAATGAAAAAGAGGCAGAACAAGTCTCTTTTAGACCTCACATGTGGTCCTTACAGTTCTGAACATCAGAGTTGAACTTGAGCACACTGAGGTCTGTCATTGTCTTGTTGCTGTATCCTGTTTCCTGTGAACCCTTACCTCCCCAGATGAATAACATAACAGGGTTAGAGGATATACCCAACTTACCACCATAAGATAGACAAGAAACTATCATGTCGTCTATCATT